CTACAATACTACAGCGAGAATAAAAGTTATGCTTTCTTTCTTTGCGTGAACATTTGGGCGGCTTTATGCAAATCTTCCCACATAGTGAGGTAGGTATGTGGGGGCGTGTTCGAACGAGCCGTTTTAGGTAGGTGTGGCTAACTCTTAACTTTTATAAAGAATATCTCTTTGGATTTGAGACTTTAGTCTTTGCAACTTTACAGATCTTCTTTATGCACCAAGAGCTTGTAACACTCTAAAGAGAAAGGAAAAAATGAAATCGCATCATATGACCCCTTTAATTATTTTTTATTATTTATTACATTACAAATATCACAAAAGGAAAGTTTGTCAAGATAACAAGTTTTATATTGTTTTGACAAAACCTTGTTTGAAAGATTTAAATTGTTTTTTTAAATGCCTTAAATGAAGTTTGAAGGTTTATAAGCCTTACAATAGATAAACAATAGAGAACAATAGATCAAATGAACAACAGATAGAATGATAAAACAACAAAATGATGGCCAATTCAAATTCACATTCATGAACTGAAAATTTAAATCTGAATTTTGCACAACATTGCATAATATACTAGTCTTTCACTAGTACAGAAAGGTACAACTACTTTTAAAGGGTACTAAAAATATTTCATCCAATATGTGCATGCAATATGTATTTTTGTGTTTCTTAGTTTGGATTTGCTAACTCAGCAACACATAAACATAAACTCTAAATGACTATCTTAAAAGGTAGCTGCCTATATAGATAGCAGACAGCGAAGCAGCTCAGTAGGTTTTCAAACCAACCACAGTCTGAGCTATTCGTGTCAATCCAGACTTGAGGAACTCTTTAAATTTGCATATAACTTCCGCTGCTATGACTCCTACACATCAGAAAAATGACAAAAAAGCACAAGCTATTATTGTAATATTCAAGCCCCAAGTTTCTGCCTTATGAATAGCAGAAGTGCCTTTCCTCCATCGACTGTGGAAGATGAACACCTACTAAGGCCATTCATGGCTAACCTTTTGATTCCAGCTCTTTTAATAGCGAGATCTATCATTAAGTTTCAGTTCACGCTGCTCCAGAGAGCGACGCATTAACAATGGTGCTGTCAGGCTCTCCTTTACAATCCATGGTAATTAGAGTTTATTGATTTAGCTGGTGGTTTTAACCACTATTGTATTTCTGACTGTGGCTTTTATAGGCAATGTGCCGCTCACTCTAAGGTCCCGGTTATCACCTATGCCCTTGTGAACAATCAAACGGGTTAAAAAACAAATGAGAAACTCCTAGCTTTAGGTTAATATGCATTTAGACGTGGTCAACTTCATTAGCTATTTGAGGAAAGCAGCATGAGTGCAAACTCTAACTATGCCATGAAAAACAGGAATAGCTTGTCACAGTGGGGTTCGAGTGTGATCTATAGTTATTCACTATTGTCCTTCTAATGTTACACAATGTGCAAATTAGTAAATGATTTTCAAGAAATTTTCATCAGTTCTCAAAGTATCCATAATCCATGTTTTTTTTTTATGTTAAAATACTTTCTCCGGTCGTGGTTTAATGCAGAGATTGCATACAAAACACACACACACACACACACAGAGAGAGAGAGAGAGAGAAAATGATTGCATCCCCTGACGGTGTATTTGATTTTAGCACTTAGTTGAATTATGCAAATGAGGTAATTGTGCAATGACAGTTTCTCATCTTGTAGGCTGGTTCTGAGTGTTTGGTTTTGGAGGATGCAGCAGACTCTCCCATTCTGTCATACTTTACTAGGACTTACAACATCAGTATATACACTTACATTGGCTCTTTGAATTGCAGAAAGTGTGCTTAACTACAGCACGTGTCTGGATATGTGCCTAGCTATAATGCTCTTCTCCATCATTTGATGAATTACTGCTGTCATGACCACTAGAAAATCTACATAAACATTTTAGAATAAAATTCTGTTTACCTCCAGGTTTTCTGTGGTCAATAAAATCACGTTAATTAATATCAGACACATAGTCCCAATGTTTGTGAAGCAACTCTGCATACAGCAGAAAGCAGTTGTACTTGGCAAGAAAAACAAAAAACAAAACTTGTCACTTGCTTACATTCTCAAAGTAATATACACTGAACAAAATTATAAACGCAACACTTTTGTTTTTGCCCCCATTTTTCATGAGCTGAACTCAAAGATCTAAGACTTTTTCTATGTACACAAAAGGCCTATTTCTCTCAAATATTGTTCACAAATCTGTCTAAATCTGTGTTAGTGAGCACTTCTCCTTTGCCGAGATAATCCATCCACCTCACAGGTGTGGCATATCAAGATGCTGATTAGACAGCATGATTATTGCACAGGTGTGCCTTAGGCTGGCCACAATAAAAGGCCACTCTAAAATGTGCAGTTTTATCACACAGCACAATGCCACAGATGTTGCAAGTTTTGAGGGAGCGTGCAATTGGCATTTCTGTACCACAAGTACAGAAATTATGGCTGATATATCGTTCTGTCACTGATAGGATCTTTTCAACCTCATCCCATCTACCACAAATTCTAGTCTGGACTCAATTTAAAGGGCTCGAGCCTTAAATAGCAGGTCAGACAAACACCCCCATAATTCATGCCTACACTAAATAAACTGTTCCACAGACAGACACTAGAGGAAAGACCTACGAGGCACGAGAGCAGGGTGTGCGAGTGTCGGTGTGCGGCAGGGACGGCAGAGACACTATGGGAAGAGGTGGGCTCTTGTAAGGCACAATGACATGAGGAGGTGTGTTGGGGGGTGGGCGGTAAAGTTGGTGAGAGGAAGTGATGTAATGAAAGAAAGCCAGTGTGCATGTTTCACCAGGAGACACAAAAGCTGATTATGTCAAAAGCAATGCTAACTAACACCCTCAAATTCCTCTGAAAAGAAAAGCACCTCAGCTACTGTACATTCAAATATGAGCAACTGCATATACATAAAGCCTATTATTCATTGTAAAATTAAGCAAAAAGTGTGTGTGCTTGTGTAAGCAGTACCTGCGTTTGAAGGTGAGGAGAACGCCCAGGAGAATGATGACAAACATGAGGATTCCCGCAATGACGCCTGCCATCTTTACAGTGCTGTCCACCTGTTTTTCAGGCTCTATGTCATTGGAATTCTGGGTAGATGCACCTTTAAACCAACAAGTACATCACAAAGAAGAGAAAGGGCCTTTAACTAAGACAAGAGCTGTCGAGAAACGCTCTACAATGACAAACACACAAAACAAACAATCACAAGAATCAAATGAAAACACAAACAAGAAGTACATACAAGCACATCTTACATTCACACACTTTCATATAGTAAGTACAACCAGTCCAAAGACAGAAAACAAAAGACACACGCATTCAAAATCGAATTAATTAAATGCATTTAAATTCAGACAAAACAAATGCACAAGTGACACTGATCGTTACTGTGTGGCGGGTTTATGGCAAAGGGGAATCGTTTATTGAATGGTATTAATTAACAGGCAAAAGACAAAAAAAAGACCTTAAGGAGCTTTTTAAATACTGGATCACTGTGGTGAAATATGAAACACTTTAGGGCCTTTGGATTCTGGGTTAGAGAATGCAAAAAAAACAAAAGACGATTCAACGCAAGAAATGCAGGCATGAAATATGGATACAAGAAAGGGTTGAGATTCATGCAGATGTATGTGTGTCTTTGTGTATATATGCGTGTTGCATACTCGCATGCACGGCATCTTGCAGGATGTTTTGTTGACAATATATTGTTATTGTAATATCTTTATAAAATCTGTACAACCATGCATGACTTTTAGAAAATACTGTTCAGATTAGCGTGGCTCCACACCAAACGGCTCATCTACTTTCATCAGGCATGTAATTCTACTGTGAAATTGCCATTATTGCTATGAAAGACATCAGCTGTTTGTTGTTGCTGTATTTCACTGTTGAAAAGATCAGAATCATCTTTGCATTTTATTCTCAAAGCCTGAACTATTATATTAACAATCATATTCCACCATTTTATAATGTACAGTACATCAATCTTAATAATACGAAGAAGAAAGGTTGTATAGACTTCAAAAAACATATAGATATAAATAAATGGTTGCATAATATACCTACAGATACACAAAGCTTAGGAAAGCATGTAATCCCTGTGTTGAATGATTATGTTACGTTATGAACAATTATGTTGTTATATTTACCTCCACTTTGCCTTTAAGATAATTTTTTAACCTGCCAGTGTGACATCTGTAACAATCACTTGCATATTAACACATTGATCTCTCTATGGGGGTGGTTTGCTTTCATGTAAGCTCAATAATTTGATTTAGTATTTCCCTCAAACCGCACAGTTCTTTTAAGCATGAGCGGATTAAACATTCAACAATAAACGTATATACATTTCTGGAACTGTATGTTGAAGAACTAAACCTTCACAGCAAAAAAAAGCTGTATTTTTGTTTTGTTTTTCAGTTCTAAAAATGTGTGTAAATATACACACACACACACAAGAAAGTTTTTCTTTTTTTTATCAATGGAGTAAAAACTCATTCAAGATACAGTAACTGAGAAAGAAAAGTGTAACTATTTTATGCAGTTTTGCTTATCAAGGTGTTAAGGTATGAACATGACAGCGATTCCAAAGACATCAGTGATCAGAAGTCATTCATTTCCAATGGGTTTGCAATCTATGACTAGAGCCCGACCGATATGGGTTTTTTGGGGCCGATACCGATATTAGGGAGTAAAAAAATTTTCTTTGTGTATATTATAGTACAGTACCAGTCAAAAGTTTGGACACTTTCCCATTCGAGGGTCCAAACATTCGATACCGATATATCGGCGACAGGCTCATATCGGCCGATAATATCGGCAAAACGATATATCGGTCGGGCTCTATCTATGACATAAGCAAACCCCTAAAAGACATCTGAGACTGAACTTTGAAAACATTCACAACTTTAGTTTCTTTTGACCTTTGAAAAAAACACTGAGCCAATCTCTGCTAACCTTGCTAGTCTTTGGAGTGTTTTCCAGCCAAACACATTTTGGCTCCATCTACAGCTGTCAGAAGGTGAAGGGAGCGCTATGGATGGTCTATGCGGATGGACTATGTGTTCTCCTTTGACTCTATCAACGTAGTAACTGAACTCCATGTCCTCCAGTCTGCTCTGATCTGATTGGGTTCAACAGTTCATGATTCACACACACAAGCACATTCACACACCTACCCTAGTGCACACATACACTATGATGGGGTTCTTTCAGTCTATTTTCTGATATCATTCTTTCAGCCAGCACTATCTTCACTACAATACAACAATATTAATCTTGACCAACCAATTGACTCATTTTACTGACCCTTCAGGACACAAAATCTCTTCTCATTGAGCTATGTCTGGCAGCATACACCTAAAAATTTACCAGAATAATTTTTAACATGTACATTTAAAATTTACTGGTAAAAATGATCAGTTTATATCTGTGTCCAATAAAATGCCCTCTGGAAAGAAAATGTCCCATCTGACTAGCAATAGCAAGCAGTAAAACGTGGTTTTGGTGATTTGTCTTAAAGACTATTTGATACACTCACAAATAAAGTATTTTGTTTGTTTGTTTTGGCTTCTATGGTCCCATGAAGAACATCCACAAAACACTCCTAAAAATAAAGGTTCTTCAATTAGATCAATGGTTCCATGAAGAATCTTTAACAACCATGGAAACTTTCCAATCCACAAAGGTTCTTTATAGTTAAAAATGGTTCCTTAGATTATAAAAATATTTTTCACACTAAGAAAATAATGACTCTTTAAGGAACTGTTCACTAAAGTGTTCTTTGGAGAACAAAAAATGGTTCTTCTATTGCAATGCTGCAAAAAAAAAAAGCATCTTCAAACAAAATGGCAACATAATGTTTTCAAGCAGATTGCCACACTGTGTAAGATGACCAATACAATACAGAAAAAGCTTTAATAGTGATTTTACAACAGTTAATTTCATACATACCACCCACAACCTAAAATGGTTAAAAAGTGATTCTAAGTGCTTGTATGTGTAAAATTTTGACAATAATATTGGTTCTAATGACTCTCACACTCATATGAATCATAAGGATCTTAGCAATCATAGAGCAGCCCTCCTTTAAGATCTGTGCTATTTTTCGTTTACCATAAAATGTTATGTAAAATATAGAAAAATAATCTGTCCTTGATTAGAAGTGCTATACATTTCCCTTCACCCACGAGCCCTGCTTGTATGCCCAATAAAATATGCGAGTATGCAGATCCTTTTATTTTGAGGGGGTAAAATTGAGTATCAAAGAGGAATTATTATTAAAGCCCATCATATTAAAAATTAATCTCTACCATATAGAGGCGTTAGAGTGTGTGAGTTTTGCCTTATTAATTGTCGGCATTTTGCGATACTTTGAATGGTTCTGTTAGCATGTGAAAAGGTACTTTTGTATAACTTTATTTAAAGCAGGTCTGTAAGCCGAGGGATTATGCAAAGGTTTATGGGGGTGCATATCACTGCTGACATCTCTGTTGCCATTGCTCAGCAGTCGACAGGATTACGGATGCGTCGTTGGATGCATCTAACAGGATTATAATCTCAAATGGACTGGGATTGAGACCAGGCAGTCACGTAAGCGACCCATGATGCTAATGGCTCAAAAAAGCATCCCCCTTCACCAAACACAGAGAGGTTAATGGGTGGATTGTAAATACACTTAGTTTAAAATCCCTTTTGTTTCTAATTCACAAGTGTATTTGGGTTTATATTTAAGCATTGTTGGTCTAGAGCATTTTGCTAAATTCCAGATGGGAGCATTGAGAAACAAAGGTATTTGTGTAAACTGACAATTGATTTCAAGCTCAAAGTGTACATGCATAATGCATGATGTCTTTTGTTTATTTTGCTTGTTATTGGATCTGCTGGGATAACGCAGCAAACACAACTAGGTTTTGCTTTTTATTTCAAAGTGAATATTACTGGCCTCAAAAAGTGTCTCGAAAAGCCACACCTAAAAATATCTGAATTTCATTGCATAGAATGAAAATATCACAAAATATCAATCCAAGTTACACCTGCAATTAAATAATGTTATTTATTAATGCAATTTTTAGTTAAGTGTGGTATGAAAGTTGCATAAAAGTTAATTTAAAACCCAACAAACTTCTTTACTATAAACGCCACTTGCTTTAATAGGCTAACTAGTGCAATGACATTCATGCATATTCAAGTTTCAAGTGTCTAATTACTTTTTGGGGGCACTGTACAGTCAAATTCAACTCTCAAAATTTTATTATGATCCTTGCATGTCAAAATATTTATTTAAAACGTAAAATGACGACAGCTTTAATCTGCTTAATTCAGACGATTAGGCATTGTAACGGTTCACTAGCTGACTAAAAGTCGGCTATCTCCTGTGCAATGCAGATATCCAGCTAGACCCTATAGAAATGTAAGATATTTTAGTGCAAGCAATTTGTAATTTCAGTCAGGGCAATTGAACATATTGTATATGACTGTAGAGTGAAATGGAAAAGCTGACACCTGTGTGTGTGCGCACATGTTAGAGCTTGACATCAAAATCCTTCAATATACATAATTAATATTAGGAATAAATGAAGAATAATATGAACACACAATACAAATATAAAAAATATAACAGATAAATATACTCAATACTTCCTAACACACACACACATTGTATATGTGCACAGGAATACATATCTAGAATAGTAAATACACACAAACATACACATGCTGGCAAACACACTCACATGTGCACACACACACACACACACACACACACACACACACCCACACACAGGTTAGGCTGGCAGGGTCAGAGTGTATGACTGGGGTCATGTTAGGTGAAGCGGTCACTTGCACATGTAAGGGGTGGAGTGTTGTAGGTAAGGCAACATATATCACTTTATGCTCTCATTTTGCTCAGAAACTTATTAAGCTCTACAGTAAAACATCTTTATGCATATCCAAACATTTAAATAATGTTCTGAGTGAAACAAAAATAGATTAATTTACTTCAGAACAATAGCAGGGCTGAGTTATAGATGTAGATTAAATGTATCAATAATTTATTTATTATATACTGTATACCATTATATATAACATTTTCATAAATAAGAAGTACATAAGGAATTTTGTTTCCAATTAACAACAGATCATTCAAAGCAAGATTATGTAATTTCTAAGTAGGCAGTTTTCTTTAAAAGGAGGATAATTGATATTCATTATGGATTCAGTTTTTCAGAGCATAACAAGGTCATGAGCAAAACTATCATAGAGAGGGGAGATCTGTTGTTTTTAAACATGAAATATTAATAATAATACGATCATTTAAAACGTGTGGGCGGCACTGTACATTCTCAGGGTCCCAAATTACAATAGTGTCAATGGAGTCAATGAGAACCAGCTAGACTTTTTAGTGAACCAGACATGCAAAAAATGCATTAAAATGCCGATGGAGAGAAGCAGAATAAAGGAACAAGGTCTGAAAAAATACAAAATAAAAAACTAAAAAGCAGAGAAGGAAACAACAGCAGAAGAAATGTGGAAGGGTGGAAAGAAGAAAGAAGAAAGAAAAGTTTGACTATGGAATAATATTCACCTTCACTGGGAATGACAAGTATGTAGGGCGTGGTATTTTGTCCCCTACCTATTACCACTAACACAAGGTTTTACGTTCCAGGCCGGCATGCATGAGAGAAAAGAAGGAAAGAAAAAATAGTCTAAAGAATTATGCTTTCAACTCAAGCATCTGAGCTTCCTTCGAGTGAGTAACATTTGGCTGGAAAGGAAACTGAAATGTGTAGGATACAACAGGTAGGCTATTTCACATGGGAAAATTAATATTAATCCAGAATCATCTAGTGGAACTGTCAGAGTAAGCATAGAAGTTGTAGAAAATTTTATAAATAGATATTTTTCATATGAATGCAAATATTTTACCAGTTGAGGCCTTATGTGGCTTTGAAAAATTGTTCTATCTGAGTCTCCAATTGTATGAAAATGGAAAAAATAAAAAAACGGGGGAATGCACTAAGACTGAATTGCGTCTGCTGTTGTTTATTTGTATTTGCATTGTTTTATCAGCCGATTCAATAAAGGAATTATGCAAATTAGGTAACTATGCCAATGAGACTTACAAAATTTGATCTGAATTCAAAATTGCAAAATTGCATGTATCAATTCCCCAGCTTGCACGCCAGGTTCTGAGTGCAAGGATGTGGTGGATTTGACATACTTAACTGATATAATACAGTTCTACCACTGCAATCCAAACACCTGAAAGGAACAGTTCACCCAAAAATTTGCTGAAAATGTATTCACCCTTGGACCATCCATGATGTATACAAGTTTGCTTTGTCATACAAACAGATTTGGAGAAATATCCATCAACGAACATCTTGTGAAGTGAAAAGCTGTGTGTTTGTATAAATCAAATTCATCATTAAGGCGTTTGCATCCATTACTTCTGGCCAAAATATGAAAGCAATATTATGGACAGAGGAAGCAACGATTTGATGCTAAAATCATCTTCATGATGGATTTGTTTCTTACAAACGTACATCTTTTGGCTTCACAAGACGTTAATTGATGGACTGGAGTGGTGTGAATTACTTGTGGATTATTGTGATGTTTTTAACAACAGTTTGGACTCTCATTCTGACGGCACCCATTCACTGCAGAGGATCCGTTGGTGAGCAAGTGATGTAATGCTACATTTCTACAAATCTGTTCCAACAAACAAACAAACTCATCTACATCTTAGATGGCGTGTTAAGTTTAATTTTTGGTGAACTACTCCTTTAATCAGTTATTTAAAATGCAGACAGTGCACTCCTTGAACTTAATATTTCAGCACATAGCGCTTGGTTTCATGAACAAGGCGCAACCTTAAATCAGTCTAATGCACATAGGAAGGAGATGTGTTTGCTCTCAAATGAATGGCAATTACTTAATTTAAGTACAGTGCAGAACTTTTCCATTCTTATTAAACTAGATTTCAGGTGGTGAGTGAATAAGAGAATAAACTTTTGCTTGAATACTGTGCGCAAAAGTCACGCAACAGTTTAGTGAATTCACCCCGTAATCTAAACCTATTAAAAACATCAACATTAAAAAGGCAAGGAAAGGTTGAAACTCTCAAATGTCTGTATCCAAGGCATCACAAAGTGTAAAGCATGTCTTTCTAAAGCAGAAACACAAAAGTAATTGGTTTTTTACAATCATAATAAGAACCCAACTCAGGACGGATCTGTCTGGGATATGAAAAAAAAAAAAAAAGCTTGACATGGAGCAAAATAAAATGAGTTCAGCAAAACAAACAAACAAACAGGTTTGTGCAGAAGCATTATTATTGAATTAGATGGTGAAAAGGCCAAAAGGAATGAAAGATAAGCTGGAAAAGAAAGAATGGGGAAGAAAAAAAAAAAGATGAGTCTGTAGCGCTGCACAGCTGTAGTGTCTCTTTATCTGTGATGTCCATTAAATAATAGAAAGTCTCTTGTGATTGCTCTGGTCCTGGAAGTGATTATGTAAAAGGGTCTTTTTACGGAGAGATGGGGAAATGAAATGGAGCAAAAGAAACTGAACAGAATTGTTGGCCAGAGGCAGATAATCATGCAGGTAAAATAAAATGGGATTTCAGATTTTTCAATGAAACCGGGAGCACTAATCTCAGTCTGATGCAACTGAGGTTTGTCTGAATGTACAACTTAAATTAAAAGGCTTCGTCCATTTTTAAACCATCATGTTTAGTAATGGGTTCCACTATAAAAAACAAAGGTCTATTAAGAATACAGAGGAAATAACATTTCTAATATTACATCTGCTTAATTCCAACCAAAACACGATTTCATTGAATTTGATTGAGTGTGTTGGGATACAGGGATTTAAATTAGACAGAACTATCCAAACATCAACCCAGCCAAAGAACTTTTCCAAAGCAAGTCTTATCTGAATATACAAAGGAACAAGCAAATAAATAAACAAATAAATCAATAGTAATTAATAATAAAATGCTTCATTCATACAAGCTAAAAATAAGTGAAAAAATTCTCATACCTTTGGTAGCCAGTCGCACACAGTTGATTTTGGTTTCCTGGAAGAGGAAAGGAAAGTTTGTGTTTTAATTAAACGTCAAAACGATACTGCATTGGGGAACATGGTTTTTGTCAAGCTACAGTGATCTTAGTAATTGCAACACAATGAAGTGCGGGTTATTTTCATCATGAGGTGCATGACATTAAGAAACAGTTAATTATATAACAACATTTCTAATGATAGTGAAGGATACACAAGTGCAGAGCTGAGGTCAAAACAGAGAGAAGCTAACATTATAGTTCAGTTTTCCCGTGCATGTAAAGTCACCACAGCCAAGTTAAGTAAAGAGTACATTTTCTAAAAGTTGTACAATCATAAAACATACAACCTGATTTTGATCCTTTAAAAATGACTTTTGATGGTATAACGCAATGTAGTCATGTTGTTTCAGTCATACAGTAATAAACATTAATATGAATAAAACTGTTAATGTACAGTATATGACAAAACATTTTTCTATTATATTCTGTTCTTCTATATTCATAGCACATGCCACCTGATTTGATCCTTTAAAGAAATACTTCTGATGGTATAACCCAGGAAGCCATGTTAATTTAGTCATATTAAACATTAATATGAATAAAACAGTTCATTTACATCATAAATCCTTTTTCTATTCTATTCTGTTCAAAAGCATTCATGGCTGCTTTTGGAATGCCAGTTTTGATGATAAAAATCTCACTTGCATCCTCTGAATGGCACGTGTGGCATGACAGGTGTTAATTAGTCAGCAGATTTAGGTGTGAAGTCTGCATGGAAGTTTAGAGCTCTGAGACAGGAAGCCAGATGCTACCATGTGTTTCTGTGAGCGTGTTTACAACAGCCACTTGTTTTGATTAGATCTGCTACCCTTGTGCACCTCATCTCAGCAGGCATGTAAACAGTAATGCCCACACATCAAAGGGCCTTGAAAGGTTTTGCTAATGGCAGTATTTCATTAAGTTATATTGTACAGCAGCTGTATTATACATCTGAAAAGAGAGTCAGAAGTACATGTTGTAATCTCAGCGTTGCCACAGGGGGCTCTATAGCAGATATTTTCTTCTGCACTCATTTTTATCTTTTAGGTAAACTAATACTGTCATGGCAGAGCAACTGTTTTATGCTTTTATTCATATATAAACACACATACATGTGTGTTTACCATCACACATGGTAAACACAGAACCTCAAATGTGTTCTCTATTTATGTGTTGGTCATTGTTTGGATGTAAATAAAAGGGTAAATTGATCCTGTTCATCATATAAAGCAATAATATCTCTTCACAAGACTTGGGTCATATGGATTATGATCATATAGATCATATGGATTCATTTTACAACACCTGGACTTTCAACGGAGTTGGACTTTCAACGGACTTTCAAAATATCTTAATTTGTATTTTGAAGATTAATTAGGTCTTATGGGTTTGAAACGTCATGACAGTGAGAAAACGATTCACATTCACACTCATTCACACCTGTGTATGTGCACATGTCCAGAGTGCGCTTCTACCCTAATAAGTGCACTACAAGTTGCATTAGATAAAATTATCTGCTGAATGATAGCCTTCTACTAAATAAACCCCACAAATGTTCTCAAACACACTGCAAAAAATTATTTTTGCTTTATTTTAGCACCACTCAACATCACTTTGCTGTATTCTGCATAAATCATTCAAATTAATCTGCCAACTGATTCTTTACAAGTTCAGAATGTTGCTACCCAGAGACTTGACAACACAGATTAAAAAATAGTTTGTTATACCATTGCAAATACTTGGTTTTTGCTGTTTTTGTTTTATTAGATGTCATTATAAAAGTAATGCATTGGAATAAAAGTTGATGATACAGCTAGTATGTATTTGCCAAATTGTTGCCTTGCAGTTGTTATGGTATTCTGTGTGGTTGCTAGGTGGTTATGCACTGGCCCAAGTCAAAAGACCCCTATTCTGACCCCTATATATGGCCCCAGCCCCTCCTTCAATGTAAGTCTATGGGATGCATAGACTAGGTCAGGGGTAGGCAAGTTCGGTCCTAGAGAGCCGCAGTCCTGCAGAGTTCAGCTCCAACCCT